GAATCATGAGTGTTCTTAATCGCATGTAGAATGGTGAATCCTTTCCAGAAGGTTTTCCATATTTCACCCAGACTCATCAGAGGAATCACTGTCTATGGCAGGTAGAACCTTACAAAATGTACTTCTTAAGTAAGACTTGAAAGTCAAAATTACTCCTTGATTTATGGGCTACAGAATGGATGTTGTGTTAGCAAGCATGAAAACCACATTAATCTCTTTGTACATCTCCATCAGAGCTCTTGTGTGAACAGGTGCATTGTCAATGAGCAGATATTATTTTGTTGTTGTTGTTGTTTGATTTCTAATTTTAATCTTTTTTTTTTTTTGAGACAAGTTCTTGCTCTGTCACCCAGGTTGGAGTGCAGTGATGCAATCTCGGCTCACTGTAACCTTTGCCTCCCAGGCTCAAGTGACCCTCAACCTCAGCCTCCTGAGTAGCTGGGACTACAGGCACACGCCACCACACCCAGCTAATTTTTGTATTTTTGTAGAGACAAGGTTTCGCCATGTTGGCCAGGTTGGTCTTGAACTCCCGGGCTCAAGGGATTTGCCAGCCTTTTTCGCTGGAATTACAGAAGCCAGCCATTGCAACTGGCTGAGCAGTAACTCATTAAGAAAGTTTTTTTTTTTTTTTTTTCTGAGCAGTAAGTCTCAACAGTGGGCTTAAAATGTTCAATAAATCATGCTGTAAACAGATATGCTGTCACCTGGGCTGTGTTTTTCCATTTCTAGAGCACAGGCAGAGTAAATTTAGCATGGTTCTTAATTTGGGAAATGGTCAGTGAACAGTGGCTTTAACTAAAGGTAACCAGCTGCATTAACACCTAACAGAAGTCAACCTCTGCCTTGAAGCTTTGAAGCCAGGCATTAACTTCTCCTCCTTAGCTATAACAGTCTTAGATGTCATCTTCTTCTGATAGAAGACTCTTTTATCTAAAAAAGTCTGTTGTGCAGAATAGCCAGCCATCTTCATCCATTACCTCAGATCTTCTGCATAAATTGCTGCAGCTTCTCTGTCAGCATTTGCTATTACACCTTGCAGCTTTATGTTATGGAGACAGCTTGTTTCCATAAACCTCCTAGAGCAGCCTCTGCTAGCTTTCAACTTTTCTTCTGCATATCCCAAGCCTTCATAGAATCGAATACAGTTAGGGCCTTGTTCTGGTATTCTGGCTTTTTCTTTAAGGGAATGTTGAATGTTGTGACTAATTTGATCTTCTATCAAGAGCACTAAAACTTTCTCCATGTCATCAATAAGCCTGTTCTATTATCCTTTTTTTTTTTTTTTTTTTGGAATAGAGTCACTGTGTCGCCAGGCTGGAGTGCAGTGGCGCGATCTTGGCTCACTGCAACCTCCACTTCCCAGGTTCAAACAATTCTTTTGCCTCAGCCTTCCAAATAGTTAGGCCTACAGGTGTACACCACCATACCCAGCTAATTTTTGTATTTTTAGTAAAGATGGGGTTTTGCCATGTTGGCCAGGATGGTCTCCATCTCTTGACCTTGTGATCCACCCACCTTGGCCTCCCAAAGTACTGGTATTATAGGCATGCCCTACCATGGCCAGCCCCAATTTCTTATCTTTCATGTGTTCACTGGACTACCACTTTTAATTTCCTTCATGGCTTCTCCTTTGCATTCACAACTTGGCTAACTGTTTGGGGCAAGAGACCTAGCTATCTGCCTGTCTCAGCTTTTGACACACTTTTCTCACCGATCATAATCATTTCTAGCTTTTGATTTAAAGTGAGAGATGTGCAACTCTCATTGTAGGGCTATTAATTGTCCCGATTTCCATATTGCTGTGTCTTGGGGAATAGGGAGGCTCACAGAGAGGGAGACAGACAGACATTGGTGGAACTGTCAGAACACACAGAGCCTTTATCCATTAAGTTTGCTGTCTTACATGGGTGCAGTTCATGGTGGCCCCAAACAATTGCAATAGTAATATCAGAGATCACTGATCACCATAACAGATATAATAATAATGAAACAATTTGAAATATTGTGAGAATTACCAAAACGTGACACAGAGACACAAAGTGAACATGTGCTACTGGAGAAACAGGCTCCTTAAAGACTTGCTCATTTCAAGGTTGCCACAAACCTCCAATTTGTAAAAATGCAATGTTTGCAAGGCACAATAAAGCAAAATAGAATAAAACAAGGTATATCTATATTATGGTATTCCATAGGTAAAATGATAAAATGTAAATTTATTAAAGGCGAGTAATACCCCCATAGGTAAAATGGAGCTATTACTCACCTTTAATAAATGAGTAAAGTGAGCCCAGTCTATCTGTGGAATATTTTCAGGATGACTAAGCAGCAGAAGAACTCGCATCTGAGACTCCTGATTCACTTCAGAGTCTTTCTGTCATTGTGATTTCCAAGGAGCATCACACTGACATGGACATTTATTTGTAAGTACAAATGAGTCAATGGTTCTCTACCATTCTCCAAAGGAAGACATGCTATAATAAGAGAAAGTTACAATTAGCAGACATTGCAGTCCAGAAAGGATAATGAGGGAGAAATGTGTCTGTTAATCAGTTTTGAAGTTTCATTTAAATAATCAATCAACTATTCTTTCAGACCTGAAGCTAATCAAAAGGCCCTAACACTTAGACCTACATACAGGGGACAACATACCATACTGTTATTTAGATACCAGTGATAGAATTTCCTGTCTGTTGCTTCAACACAAATAATCATCTTTTAAAAATAACAACAAACATCACAAAAATTTTCTTTGAAGATTAATTTTAGGTTACTAAGATTGCTAGCTAAAATAAACGTTAACTTTTCAACAAGTCACAATCTAGCTGGACAAATATATCAGTGTTAGCATAAGGCTAAGTAAGGAATCTGGCTTGGAATTTTCAACACTTTGTTCTAATCATTAATGTTGCAATGCTGTCCTATTTACAACCTGACATTCATTTTTGCACTTTCAACATCTCATGTTTTTTCAGCAACAGTAAATAGCTTTAAGTGATGACACCTTGCCTTAGCTGGATCTATATTTTGACTAGCAGGTCCTGGCATTGTGTCCACCTCAGATATCTCTCCAAATGTTGCATGCAAGCAAAAAAAGATGAATAGATCTTAAAGGAAAGAAAAATAAAAATTCTATCACTCTAAACAATGTTAGGATATAATGCCTCTAAGTTATTAGCTAACCTATTGCAGCAACCTCTAGTCATCTCGTGATTCTCTCTTTGGGTTCTAAATTTTTCTTGAAATGTTTCACAAAATCTCATTTTGTGATGCTCTAAAGAGGGAGGTGGTGGTAAAATAAGACTTGGGACTGAGAGAAGAGCATAAAAAAAGCAAATGCCAAAGAGAGGAGTCTGAATCAATCACGTGTAGAATGCACAGAATCACACCTGATTTCTACATTACTTTGTTTTAAACAGTACAATGTTGATTCAAATTCCTGAGATGTAGGAAGGTACCCACATTAGGACTTTTATTTTTATGCTGAAGCTCAAAATATAAGTTGAGGAAAGGCCTTTCAAATTCACCAAAAGTGAACATTTGTATATCTGATAAATTAAGTACTACCCCAAAAAACATTCTCTAACCACACAGATTTTCATAATGTGAGGGAAATCTATGGTTATGAAACATCCAATATTGTATTTAGTCTGCATTTATATTGCATGTGATAAAAATTTCCCCAAATTAGAATATGAGAAGATTCATGTCATTAAAACATTTTAGAAATAGCTGAATTCCCTTGCATATTCATAAGGTATAAGGATAGTATTCATTTGCTTCAGAATCTTGTGAAATCTCAGGATTATCTCTTTGGACAGTGTATAAGGACTGTGCTGGTTACTGAGCTTCTTCTTCTTTGAATTCTGGGAATACGGAAATTTGTATAATGTTGAGAACTAATTGACAAGTCCTGAGGGCTGGCTTAGAAATGCTTTGCATAAAAGCTTACACACTATACCCCCTTTTAAAATAATGCATCCAATTTCTAGACAGAACTATGCCAAAACACAGCCTTCTGAAATGTGTTGTGGGCTATAAGGATTAAAAGTAACACTGGAATTTTACATTAAAATGTGGCCTATCTAGAGGGACTTCTCCAAAGCACAGGATCTTTAAAACACAGAGTAGAAAAGTCACTGGAGGAATGCCCCCAAGTACGTGGGGGCGTCTGGGACACTTGTCATTGTCTTGCATGTCTGCAGTATTCCAATATGGGCAGTAGGGGGAGCTCCTGCATGAAGCAAACCCCCCAACACGTGTTTCCTAGCTGGGAACATAACGCGTTTACCTCTTAGCCTTGCCCCAAGTCCAGGGAGGTAGCCACCAAGGAGTACTGCTGTCAATTAACTGTACAAGCTTAGGACATGTGAATGAATTGCTGAAGTGAACAGAGATGACACATGGGTCTGAGCCTACCTTTTAGAAATAGGGTGGCCAATTTTTATTTTGGTGGGCAGGAGGGGTTAAAGGAAGCAGCAATCAATGGAGTTGGGGCAGAAACAGGGGAGGGGGCTTGCCGTTAGCTGTAAACAGTGATCTTGGAAAGCAACAAGTGGGCATCAGTATTTCAGGGCCTTTATTACAGTTTCGTTTGTAGACTATATTCTCCATTAAATGTCAAATCAAACTTTCTTTTCTTCCCATGACCCCACCCCAAATCCAGAAAATCACTTGATGAACTGTGTTTCTCATTGAGCCTTAGGAGATGAGGCTTCTGTAGGGGGTCTCCTGCACGTGGCTGTGTTTTACACATGAATGTGTGATGCATTTTACTCCAAGTCCCAAGTATCAGAACCACGTTGAAAACATCTTTAGGGACCAGAAAGAGCCAGCTCTCTAGCCTCAAACACAGTGGATTCCAGTATGAAATTCCATGCCCTCTCCCCCACCTCATCCACATACTCAGGCACACTCCTACCCCCAACAGCTGGCTCATTTCACCTTCCTGTCCCCAAACGAAGGTCTGCAAAGATGTAGTCAAAAACCTCAGCACTCACCATATTGACTTCAGAAACCATATCGATGCTGGCAATGTCAATGTTCATTCCCACTGCCACAGGGGGACCTGCAAAGCAAGATAGCCAGCCACGTGATTTCTTTGAACTTCATTCATTCTCAGCAAGAGTTATCTCTGGGCATGAGACACTCTACCCAAAACCCCTCCTCACTACTCACTCTCAAATTCCTCAACGCTCTGCTTTTTTTGTTTAAAAAGACTAGCCAGGCACTCACTCCTCTGAGAAATGCTGTATTGAATACGCACACATATATGCTGTGAACAAGGGATTCCAGCTCAGTCTACATGTGCATATGTCTCAGCAAGTGAATGCACACAACTCACAGAAGCACAAGAATACTTCCAGCCTGAGGGATTTTTATAAATTGCGCTGAAATCCTCTCCTCCTCAATCTTTTCCACCCCCCTCTGTACACAGGTTTTTAACTCTTTGAGCTTCATAAGAGTGAAGCAATATTAAGTGAGTGTATCAGCATACCCAGGGCTGCAGCCAGAGAGAGGTTCCTCTTTTCCCTACCGTGTCTAACCCTCCCATTTTCTCTCTACCCTCCCATCCTCCAGTCCTCCCCACTTCTGTGAGGCTGGGAGGAGTGGATTATATCCAGACATGAGCCACTGTAACCGCGGCCAGAAGAACTCTTCCAAAGTAGGCAGGCACAGGGGGTTAATGCCACCTCTCAACCACTGCCTGCACGTCTTGTCCTAAAAAATGTTCACGGTGGCCTTCTGTAAGCCAAGTTCTCTCAGCACACCATTAACTAAACTTAAGAGGTTTGTATCTCAACAAAGCAAAGACAGGGAAGCAAAGGATTCATAACAGTGAAGCTGAAAGACAGCAGTCACCAAATTTGAGTGCACATGAAGAGGGTCTCATTGAAAGACCACGCAAGTGCTGGGTAGCAACAATCCAGTTTAAGTTTTGATCAGTTTCTCAGTATGGTAAAATAGAGACACATTCAGTACACCACATGCACCCACAACTAGGGAGAGGGAAGAGAGCGCGCACAAAGCTCAAAAGACAGCTTCGGCTGTGGCTGGACTCTTCCTTATTTACAAGGCAACCCCATTACCTCCAAAATCTGGTCTCAGACGAATGTCATAGCCTTTCAGGAGTCTATCCACCGTCTCTTTAACCAGCGACATATTACTAGGGTCATTGACACTAAAGAAAGAAATGACAATAAGCAGGCATCAATAAGGAAGCAGGCACAGCGTTTTCAGCATCGGATCCGTACTACATTTCCCTGCTCACAAAGGTATGCAGACAGAGCCCTTCAAAGTGAGAACGGAAAAGAGAAGCCTTGGGCACACTTACCTCTGCGCACAGACAGCGGCGATTATTAAGGGGAAGGACCAAATCCCAAAGTAGCCCCTTTTCCGGACTCTCCACATCCCTTTAGTTTTTGATGGAATTGAGGGTTTCACTGAAGAGAAGAGATCCAACTTAGTCTGCCCAGTGCAGTAATTCTAATGTGAGGCGCATGCGCACGGCGTACCAAAACATCAAAGGGGAAGCGGCGGCTGCCGGGGACCGAGCAGATTTCCTTGTTTAAAAAAAAAAAAAAAAAAAAATTAAAAGGGAAAAAAGGTAAGGTTGTGGTCTGTAGGTATTCCATTTACAAGTAAAAAACTAGAACATAAATTCAAAAAGTAACCTTTTTATTCCTTGTTTAAAAAAAAAAAAAAAAAAAAATTAAAAGGGAAAAAGGAAAAGCATATATATGTATAATACATACATATTTGAATAGTATGGAAAAGTCACCCCACAGGAGCATCCAGAATAAAATTTTTGTTATCCTTTCGTTAAGACAAAATAACTACAGCGTCTGGTAAGTTTCGGTAGTTTCAGGAGGCAGTTTTGCACCTAGCGGGTTGTGGGTTATTTGGGTGTGTGTGTGTGTGTGTGTGTGTGTCCTTTTAAATATGTAAAACCAGATTAGAAAATTAGAGGAGAGTAGGTGAGGGGTGCCAGCGGAAGATGGGTGCCGGTAAGCCCACTTCTGGTCTCAGCCGGACACAGGGGCAAGGAGTTTGAACTTTATTTCCTCGGCAAATAGCATGCCCTGCCTGGGGCAAGACAGGGATGGGGGGGCGGGGGTTGTGCAGCGGGTGGGAGGAGGGGGGAGGGGGCGTTGGGAGTCGAAGAGGAAGGGAGGGAAAAAACCAATGGGAGGAGTGCTGAGCAACCCCTTGGATTTGGGGCGGGGGGTTGGGGAGGCGGGTACAGAATAAGAAAGGCACAGAAAAATAAAAAAGGAAGAAAGGGAGAGAAAAGAAGAATAAAATAATGGCTGGTCTCTTCTAGGAGTCAAAGAGCAAGCTTTTCTTCACTACTCACGAGCGATTTCTTTCTCCTCTCCTCACCCTTTGCCCCCTATTCCCAGAGAAGAAAACCTCGGGGTCCTGTTTTCTCTCCGTGTGACGTTCCTGACCCGCTAGTCCCGGTTATTTATAGCAGGAGGGGGGGGGTGCGAGGGGAGCAGAAAGGCAACGCTGTCTCTCCAGGTTTCGGTCTGATTCTGCAGTGGGTATTATTAGTGGGCAGGGTGGGGTTTGGATGAGGGGGAGACGGGACGTGGAGGCGTGAGGTACGCGGTTGACTAGCGCCCAAGCGCAGGTGCGGGGGACTGGAGGGCGTGGGCGACGGCACTGTGCAGGAAGGGCAGGTGGCCGAGTGGGACTCGCCCGGGCTGGGCCCCCCGCACCCCCTCTGCCGCGCGCACCCGCGCGCACACACGTGCAGGTGCACTCCCCAACCGCCACCCCCGCTTACCTCGCGGGCCCGCGTTCGCCGCCCACTCCTGCCGCGCGCGGAGCTGGAGCCCCCGGCCCCTCGGTCCGGGCCGGGGACAGGAACTCCGGGCCGTTCAGGGTCTGCGCCTGTGGATACAACAAGCCTGAGAGGTTCCTAAAAGGCAGGCAAAAGGAGAAAGGGCACCCCCACCTCCGGGGGCACTGTGTTCTCCAGCGGTCTCCGCGCCACCTCGTCCTCTTCCCTTCCCCGGGCCCAGGGGACTCGCACACCCAGAGGCTGCCTCTTCCTTTCCTCCCGATGCTCAGGCCGGCTAGCCGTGGCCGCCGGCACCCGGAGGAGGCAGCAAGCTTAGGGTGAGGAATTGGAGGAGGGAGATACTCAATTCACAAAAGAAGTCTTCCCTCCGCTCCAGGGAAAGAGAGGAGCTGCGGGAGGTGCTACGAGTCTGGGGACACAGGGCAGTCCAAAGGAACCCGAGTCCAAACCAGTGGCTCTCCGGGTACTCCCGAGTTTATCTTGGAACTGGGGAAGAGGCGGTAGAGTAGGTGTTCCCGCTACCCCTCCCCCAGCCCCACCCTGGGTAAAGAACTGGAAAGGCCAGAGCCCAAATCTCTATTCTGGACCCCAACGCTTAGCCTCTCCCTGCTGCTGCCAATCATGGTCGCTATTAACTGAGTGCCTACTGGGTGCCAGAGTGCTGCATTCATTAATTCTGACAACAGTTCCAGCGATTAGCTATCACTTCAGTGTCCCCATTTTATAGATTTAGAAATTGGCACACTGAAGCCAAGGAGCTTGCCCAAGGTCACTCAGATAGCAAGAGGTGAAACCAGGACTGGACTTCAAAGCCAGCGTTCCCAACCACTGAACTAGACAGCCTAGACTCCGGAGGCGCCTGAGTCAGCGACCTTGCCCGCCGTCAAGCGCTTCGCTGCGGCGGGTCAAGCTCTGGGCGCCGGCGGACCTAGCGGCGGCTGAGGGTGGAGTTGCGCGCGGACCGCTCCAGCTCGTCCCGGCTGCTGTCGGCGGGGAGGAGTGGTCGCTGGCGCGCGGAGTTGGCGGCAGTGGGCAGGCGTAGCTCCGCAGGCTTGCGGTCCCCACCACCCTGGGGGCTCCTCAGGGTCCGGGTCCATGCTGCACTCTTGACCCACTTACCTTCTGATAACCTTTCCCCTCCCCCGCCTGGGTCAGAGGGTCATCTGGGGGCAGCCTGTGGGGATGACTCAAGGGGAAGTGTGGAGGCGGAAGGGCTGTGAACGGGGGAATCCGACCGCTCCCCCAGGATGGATGGTAAGCAGGAAGAGAAAGCTGAGTTCCTTCGCTGACCAAGGGAGTTTCTAGGTTGGAAAACAGGTAAAGCCCAGCACCGTGAACACAGTGCAGATCTACCGCGCGGCGTTCTACCAGACTCCCAGGCTCCTAAGAGCCCATCCAAAGACATTCGCGCGCGCACTCACAAGCGCGCGCGCGTGCGCACACTCACACGCGCGCGCGCACACACACACACACACACACACACACACACAAGGGGGTGGGAGGAGGAAGTCTTAAGCCTCCCGTCTGTAGTTACTTGGGTTTAGCGTTACCTCAGAATGTTGAACCATGGACGAAGAAAACTGCTCATTTTTCTTTCTCTTTTGTCATGTACACAGAATCTTTTGCACCAGCTGAGTAAAGGAAGGGTGGGGAGCGGTGGGGAGATGGGGGGGGTTAGGAAATTATCAGCATGATGTCCACAGGATTCCCAAAGCGGTTTAGTCCCAAGTAGCCAAATTATGAGGCCCCAAATGCTTCCTTTCCCATCGAAACTCTAACATATCTCAAAATAGCTCAAAATAGGGTTTTCCTTCTGACCCTTAGTTAACCACGTTTTTCTTTCTTGCACCGTCAGCCCCCTTCTACTTAGGCTCGCTTCAGTTTGGGTTGAGAGAACAAAATTCAGTACAGTAGCTAGAACAAACCACAAATACTGTCACCCAACTATAATAACAGTAATGATAATGGCCCAGGGAATGACGATACAAGTATTTATTAAAAGTCTGCTATATAGAAAAAATTAACGAAGAGAGGGGCAAAGAGTTAAAAAGAAAGCAGCTTGCAACTCCAAGTAAAATATTATATAGTATAAACTGAGAGCGTAAAGGAACAGAAGGTAAATCTTTGGGTTCAAAAGACTTACACAAATACTTAGTAAATTTGTAACTTGGACAAGACATTTAACCTCTAAGACTCAGTTTCCCCTTCTGGAAAACTGAGAAGGAAAAAAATATCTTCTCCATTGGACTGCTGTAGGATGAAATAAATATATGTGTAGTATTTGGCTGCGATTAATAAATATTAGTAATCTTTTAATGAATAAGCCATAATGAATGGACATGAAAACAAACAAGGTTTAGTGGCATTCAGCTATAAAGACTGAGTAGATATAGATTTGGTGCCATTATTATTATTATTTTAAATTATACTGTAAGTTCTGGGATATATGTGCAGAACATGCAGGTTTGTTACATAGTTATACACGTGCCATGGTGATTTGCTGCACCCATCAACCCGTTATCTACATTAGGTATTTCTCCTAATGCTATCCCTTCCCTACCCCCTCAACCCCTGACAGGCCTGGTGTGTGATGTTCCCCTCCCTCTATCCATGTGTTCTCCTTGTTCAATTCCCACTTATGAGTGAGAACATGCAGTGTTTGGTTTTCTGTTCCTGTGTTAATTTGCTGAGAATGATGCTTTCCGGCTTCATCCATGTCCCTGCAAAAGACATGAACTCATCCTTTTTATGGCTGCATAGTATTTCACTGTGTATATGTGCCACATTTTCTTTATCCGGTCTATCATTGATGGGCATTTTGGTTAGTTCCAAGTCTTTGTTATTGTGAATAGTGCTGTAATAAACATATGTGTGCATGTGTCTTTATAGTAGAATGATTTATAATCCTTTGGGTTTATTAGATTCGTTGGGATTCTTGTAGTTGAAAACAACAATGGTTTTTCATATCATTAGTCATGGTTATAATCCAACTGGGAATAATGACATATGCTTTATTTTCATTAAGTATTATTTTAGTAATGGGGTTTGTGGGGTTTTCTTCTAAGCCCTCACCTATTTATGGTGGGTTAGTGCTAATTTTTAGTGGTGCTGTAGGTTGTGTAATTACGTTATATTTCGGTGGATCTTATATGGGGCTTATAGTTTTTTTTTAATTTATTTAGGTGGCTTAATGGTTGTTTTTGGTTATACTGAGGCAATAGCAATTGATGAGCATCCTGAAACATGGGTATCAAGTACTGATATTTTAGGGATTTTCATGTTGGGTTTAATAATGGAAATAATTATAACAGTTTTATTAGGCGGTGACCCCAATAAAACGGTAGAGGTTACTGTTAATTATAAGACTATGGCAAGTAGAATAATTTATGAGGGTGAGGGACCAGGATTGATTCATGAAGATCCTACGGCTGCTGCTACCTTATATAATTATGGTGTTTGGGTTGTTTTAGTTGCTTGTTGAGCGTTGTTTATGGGCATGCATATTGCAATTGAGCTTACTCAGGGTGGGGGCTAAATAGTTAAAAGTAGTGCCAGAATAAGTGGAATAAAGATAGATAAAAAATAAAGCTTAATTAGGCCCTTTTGAGTTGATGTGGTTGTAGAAATTGAGATTTGAGTTTGCGTTGTTATTTTTGGTATGGGTTTTTCCAATTAAAATAGGTCTAGTAAGATTGAGGTAAAGTTCTGACTTGCGGTTAAGCTTGAATGGGGATTAAATAGATGAGTAGTGATTGAGTAAAAGCCTAGTATGTTGGAGAAGTAGAAAGTTTTTACTGGAGTGCTTAATTTTATATTGTTGGTTATGAAATTAAGTTCTGTTGCTAGAAGGAGACCTAAAATAGTTATGCTTAGCTAAAGCTGTAAGTTTAAGGTAATATGGTATACTGACTTGAGGGTGTGAAGCAGGAAGAACACAATTAGAAATAAGAAACCCGTCAAAAATGCTATGCACTGCTAGGTGATTAATTGGGTTTATTAGTAGGGGATTATTTTCATTAATTAAGATAAGAGCTGTAAAGCGGCGGTGTCCTGTTAGAGTAAAGAAAATAATTCGGATACTGTATATAGCTGTGAGGGAAGTGGCTACGAGAGTAGCTATAAGGACTCAGGCGTTGGCATATGACGGGTTGGTGGTTTCGATGATTAGATCTTTTGAGTAGAAGCCTGTAAGGAAAGGTACACCTATAAGTGCAAAGCTTATGGGATTTCTGGGTCAAATGGTATTTCTGGTTCTAGATCCTTGAGGAATCACCACACTGTCTTCCACAGTGGTTGAACTAATTTACACTCCCATCAGCAGTGTAAAAACGTTCCCATTTCTCCACATCCTCTCCAGCATCTGTTTTTTCCTGACTTTTACTGATCACCATTCTAACTAGCATGATATGGTGTCTCATTGTGGTTTTGATAGTGATGATGAAGTTTTTTCCATATGTTTGTTAGCTGCATAAATGTCTTCTTTTGAGACGTGTCTGTTCATATCCTTTGCCCACTTTTGATGGGTTGTTTTTTTCTTGTAAATTTGTTTAAGTTGCTTGAGACTCTGGAGATTAGCCCTTTGTCGGATGGATAGATGGCAAAAATTTACTCCTTTTCTTTTTCTGTGCAGAAGCACAAGAATGACAGAAGATCCCATTTGTCAGTTTTGGCTTTTGTGGCTATTGCTTTTGGTGTTTTAGGCATGAAGCCTTTGCCCGTGCCTGTGTCCTGAATCTTAT